AAAGACATACACACCTTCAAACAAAATTAGCATTAATTGAAAACTCTTTACAACTTAGGAATCTTTCAAAAACCCGATGGACTGCAAGGGCCGAATCTATTAAAGCTGTATGGATATCATATGAAGCAATCATTGATACACTTCAAGAACTTATAAACTTAAAAAATATAGACAAAAAAGCAAGTAATCTAGCATTTGGTCTTTCTAAAAAAATATTAAATTTTGATTTTTTAATAAGTTTGTCTTTCATGAAAAATATCATGTATAAAACTAAAATCTTAACGGAAAAACTGGAAGCACCAGAGTTAAATATAATTGATGCCTTGTTATTACTAACATTTAATATTGACAGTTTAACAGAAATGAGAGACGATGATCAATCAGTTGATAACTTGATTGAAAGTGGAATTGAATTTGCTAAAAACTTGGATATTAACCCAGACGCAGATTTTAACAGACTCCACAGAAGAAGATTAAAGCCCAAAAAACTTGATGAATATGCTAATACACAGTGTACTATGAATTTAAAAACATTTTATAAAAATGAATTCAAAGAAGTATTTAATACCTTAATAACTTTACTCTCAAAACATTTAAAGGACAATATTTTGATTGTAGAACCTTTGATGAAAATTTTTAAAGTTCCAATAGAGGAGAATAATTGTTCTAAAGACGATTTGGAAAAAGCAATGAAAATATTTCCTCCTGGATGCAATGAATTTAAAATCAGTGATTTAGATAGGATTTCAGCTGAGTTGGATGTTTTATACCACCAATGTATTACAAAAAATATTTTTAAATTAACCGAAATATTTGAAATATCTGAAGAGTTAAAACATATTTTGCCAATGAGTAATAAAATATGCCGATTAATATTTACCGCTCCGGTAAGTACTGCCTCAAATGAGCGGGCTTTTAGTAAATTAAAAATAGTAAAAAACTGCCTACGATCTACTATGGGAGAAGAACGTCTACAAAATCTATTGTTAATGAACTGCAATAAAGATTTTACAGACTCAATAGACATTCATAAAATAATGAAACATTGGCTCTCATCAAAGAAAGGAGAATTACATTATAAAAATTTTAAATGTTTTTGATAACAGTTTGTGTATTTTAATTTTTTTAACTGTTTTATGCATACATATTTTAGGTACATATTTTATTCTATTTTTTTTTTGTAATTTTATTTTAATTACGATATAGCTATTAAATATTTTTTAATTTTTCTTCTTACACCTACAATATACTTTTAGGTGGTATAAACATGAGTATGCATAGACTGAAAGCTTATACCTAAAACGAGAAAAACACAAAAAAAAAATGTCAATAGCTTTAAATAAACTATAAAATATTTTATGAGATCCGTCAGATCTTTTATATAGCAGCACTCACCACTTATTTGCCGTCACTTTTAGGTATATTTAAAATCGAATTAATAGTGCAATAACCGATGTTAGTGTATTAATTATATAATTATTATCTAGATAATCGGTATCATCAAAATAATTAGTCGGCAAATTACGTATGTAACACCCCCCCAAAAAAAGTTTATAGCGCCGGCACTGCTCGCATTTTATTCTTTACTATACCATCAAATATACAGCTATAATTTCTAAGAATTTTATCATCGACTACCAGACGCTCAGGTAATCATATTTCCATCAACAAAGATATTATATTATAATGCTCATATGCGACTCATTTTGCGCCGTCATTACCACTTAAAAAGCATCTCACTAATCTCATTATAAGCCTCCCGTTCTTATCGAAATAAGAAATCGAAAGGTGTGTGTTAGTTATCAGTGAAACAATTTGATAATTAATTTAATATAGCACCTCCATCAACATTTAAATTAGCGTATCAATCAGTATCTCACTTGACATCACCCTAATCAATTTATTTATGTGTACTATGTAATATTATTTTCTCTTTCCATCAATAGTTGTTGTATATACGTTTTCATTCTAGTGTAAAAACCATAATTCCTTTGATATTTCACTTATGATAATTTACCTTGAAGTCAGCACCTCTCACTTCAAAGATGTGTGTATTCCCCTTTCTCCTATTATTCAAAGTTGGTTTATAAAACATTCGTTTGTGGAAAATCAATCATATTATAACTGTTTTCTTATTTGTGCGTAATCAGTGAAGTATAACATTATGCTATTGAAGATGAACATGATGAAAATGACTACGTGAGGAAAAGATATAAGATTGACTATTCGGAATCAACCTCAACCTGAGTTTGCTGTACTGGCTACATCGGTCTTCAATTTCAGTTTCATAGAGCAAACATTTTTGCATATCGGTTGCACATGGGCAATTGAACGATACATTCCAATTGTAATAATCATAACACCAAGTATGTACTTTTGAATGCCGGATGATAAATTTATAAACTTTTTAAACATCATTAGTTATTTTATTTCGTTTATGGACGATTCTTGTAAATCAAAAATATATCTGAGTACGATGTTCAATATTGTAAAATCAAAATGTTTCTCGAAAAGTTATTTATCCATATCGAATAATCGTATGGTTGATTATTGCATAAATATCGAAAATCGACCTCAACCCAACCCAACTCAATCCAATATTCCATGATTGACGCAGGACAAAATCAAACTCGGATTCATGATAAGGTATGAGTTTAATATATTTTTTTATTTTTAATTTTATTATGATTTAATTATAATTATAAAATCAATTGTATAATGACAGCGCTTGTATTCATTCCGGTTCACATTCGTAATATATATATTATATTATTATAGGTAAATATTTCCATTATCAAAGGTATTACTACACTATAACACTCATAATCATTTGTATTTTATGAGAATAAATGCGACACTGTCTGTATATAATTAACATCAAATGTATAGCCACCATTTCTAAGAAATAGAAATACTAATACTACAATGATTACTATATATCTAGTAGGGTAAAAAAGTAGTATTATATCTTAATTCATAAATTATAATATAATAATTATATTATACAAATATATAAACTTATATAAATTATTAATATATATATATATATATAT